CACCTGGGTAAAACAGAGTCCATTCTCTTCGGTTCGAAACATAATCTCAGCAAATCCGACGACTTCTCAGTTGCAGTGGGCGACATTATTGTCACAAGTAAGAAGGAAATTACATACCTAGGATCTATTCTTGAGGCAAACCTCTCCTGTGACAAAATGGCATCCAATGTAATAAAAAAAGTCAATCAAAGAACTAGATTCCTATACCGGATCTCCTCTCTGGTAAACAAAAACACCCTGAAAACTCTGGCAGGAGCACTCATTCAAGGGTACTATGACTATGCTTGCACGTCATGGTACCATAGCACCTCCAAGGCGCTAAAAATAAAACTTCAAACATCGCAAAATAAACTGGTCAGACTACTGCTTGACCTTTCATCTAGAACCCACCTCACCTCTGCCCACTTTGACAACCTAGGATGGCTTAGAGTAGACGACAGAGTAGCTACTTGCAATGGGCCTGGTCTACAAGATCCACTACACCTCTATGGTACCCATGTACATGTCATAATTCTTCCCAAAGGTCAAGGAATACCATGATCATAACACCAGAGGGAGCTCCACAAATCATGTGAAACCCAGATTTGGCAAAAAAAGGAATACACGTTTCGCAATTATGCCACATCAAGGTGGAACGCTCTTCCCACAACTGTAAAGGAAAGTAAAACTATACTTACCTTCAAAACCTCTCTTAAAGAGCACCTTCGGGGGAGAGCATTGCAAAACTGGCCCCGGTAATGGTACAAATCTCAACCTGTCGTTCAATGGACAGCTTCCCCCCCCCATCTATGTATATACTCGCATTTTAGACTCTGTTACTAACTGTATATCTGTAGACTTGGTATGTCTTAAATGTCCGGTTAGGATGTATTAGAACGAAATCTAAAATGAAAATTGTAAACAAGCAATCTGTATGTAAAAAAAAACCACCTGTATGTAAATTGTAAATAAGCCATCTGTATGTCAAATATGTCTTATATGTCTTAAATGACATGATGAATTGGAAATGGGGGACCCTGATGTAAACAAGACGAAAGTCTTTCTCTGGTCTGCATCCCCTTAACAATTGTATGTTTTGAGCTGTACTGTACTGTACCCAATATACAAGCTGTTCATAAACTTTTCAATCAATCAATCAATCTGTGCTCATGTAAACACCATGATGTCCATGTAGAGACGCAGTCAGTGTGTTTTACTGGAGCCTCAGTTCGATAAGAGATTATTTTCTGAGTTATCTCTCAAAATGGTAATGTGTATTATGTTTTAATTATACTTCTTATCATTCAGAAGCTTTTTGTGTGTGTTTATGTTTTACTGAGTGCTTATAGGCCATTTCCATCCTAGTATTCAGTTAACTATTTATTTTCTGTGCACATAGCTAGCTAATATTATACTGCTTGGGACTTTGAGTCTTCAAAATGTCCAATGTCACAGACTGGGACTTACTTTAGAGTCAGTTGTATTTACATTCAGTATGACTTGTTATGATTCAATGTGAAAGAGTATACTGCTCAATACATCATTATCACTTCACCACCTCTCTTGACATCTAGGCGCTTGAGAGTGAGTCAGAGACAGAACACAGGGACAGTGGAGAGAGGTCCATTGCTGAGGTGAGTGATGAAAGGGAAATGACAGTTTAGAGTCAATTGTGATGTGGACTCTCATCCCAGAATTTTAAGGTAATCAGTGGGGATATTGAACAGGAAACATTTCAGTCAAGGGGCATCATATGACCAATATAGACAGAAGAGCAACATTTATTTGAACACTTAAGTCAATGATACCATTCCTAGGTGAACTTAACATCTGTATGGAGTCAGATCAGTCTCAATATTAATAAATGCTCACAAAAGGATTCACAAATGTATTTTGCGATTTATATATAAATGACTCTCCACAACAATATCTCTCAATGCACTCACAAATATGTATTGTTGTTTATAAATGTACAAAAAATGGGCATTTAAACTGCTTTTTATTAATTCAAAGACAGCTCTGAATTAATAATCAAATATGTTTCCTTTCTTTACTACTGGATGAAATTACAAAATGTACCCATCATTTTCCTCATGCTAGTATAGCCACATAAAAGTATCAAACCACCTGATAAAATGCACCAGAATACAGGAAATCTTTTTTTTTTTTCGTGGGGGGGGGGGATCCCCAAACCCCCCGTTAAAAATGTCCCCTCCACATTCAGGATGCTTCCTACGCCCATGGTAACAACATACTGTAAATGTCCCTGCGGTGGCACAAATAAAGCATTTCTGATTTCTGATTATATTGAGTGCCCTACAGATTAAAAAACAGTATCAAGAGATACGAGTTCCTATGGAGCAGTTAAAGAGCAGCATGGGTCGACAACATTGAAGAGACACTGAGACATACAGCTCATCTTTATTAAAAAGCATCTTTTCAAACCAAATGTGTGCAGCCCCTCGATGTTAACAACATCATTTCATTTCATCAATCAGAGCATCAGCGCTAAACAAACAGCGAGCACTGATGAACTCACGGACGGAGGAAGAGGTTGTACACAGGATCCTGGATCCATATTTGTATGCGCTTGCCAATGCTTCTCCTTGTCTATACGTGTGTACAACTGTATGTATTTATGTATGTGCTGTGAGGCTCCCCTTACTCTACCTGGGGCGAGTCTCATCTTCACTCAGCTCCATTACCCGTGGCAAATGGAATACATTTGTGTCAGACAGCTGCATGGTGAGAGGGGGCCAGAAAAATGCGTTTAATTAAAAACTGTCATATCTACACTTAGAGATGGGACAGTCAGAAGAGCATGAATAATCAATAACCACACACACACAGCGCAGCATGCGGTGATGGAGGTGAGAGTGGAACAAACACTGAACTACTTCGCTTGGCTGTGTGTGGGAGTGTGGGGGTCTGTGTGTGCATCAGTAAGACCGCTCTGAGTTCCCAGCAGCAACAAGTAGCTTCAGCTCTTTGTAAACATATATAGAATAGAATAGGGAGGGAGGGATGAAACCCTCTTTAATGGTCACACATGCAGAGCACACAGCACACACAGCAATGGGAGTGGGGAGGGGGTGAGGGGGTGTTCGGTGCCTTGCTCAAGGGCACCACGGCAGGGCAGGAGGTGACTCCATATTTAGGTCTGGTCGGGGACTTGAACCGGCGACCCTACGGCTCACAGTCCAAGCCCCTACCGGACCAATATGGGGGGCTAATCAGATTCACTGCATTCAAATATTTATTTTTATGGATTTGTTGACATTTTTATTTTATTTGACTAAAGAACAAGTTGTAAAAATTAGATTAAAAAAATACATGATTCATTTATACAGTATATATAAAAATATATATTTAAAATGTTTTTAAAAAAACTAGATCAACTATGTGGTGCATATCCATAACCTACTTAACACCAAAAAACATAAATAATAAATGAAAAGAATATATAGAATATGTTAGACCAAAATAAATAGAACCAAATATGCACTGCCGCGATCTGCTGAAACCTCTTCAACATATATTCCATATTTTAATTAGATTTATTCAACATATTTCAGTAAGTCAGCAAAAACAATGAGTTCCAACACTAATGATAAGGCACGTCATAATTGAAAGTCAAAATCGTGATGAAACATGAAGCAGATTAAATCACCTAGCACACAAAAAGCTGAGCAAGAGCTCACACATTATGTGGCCTTTCTAGGAAAAGGAAACACTTCAGTGTAGTCATCATGGCTGCAGAGTGACTCAATCCTGCATATTCTACTTGCAGATAGAAAACTGCTCTCAGTTGGCCTGAACTCTACTGATGAGTCATGAAAGCTTAGGCACTGCGCTACTGCTGGAAAAATTATGCAACAGTTTCGCCTGCATGCTTGTGTGTGTGTGTGTGTGCGTGCACAAGCTTAATGTGCGTGTGTGTATTATAGAGAGACAGTCGGTGACATAGAGAGACAACCACAGAAGGGGAGGACAAAGGGTCCTCCAGGTCAGGGATGAACTAAGCCTTGCCAGCGCTGTGTGCACATGTGTGTTTGCACATGTGTGTGTTTGCAGAATTGCGTGTATTCAAGTGTGTGTCATTTCAGTTCAGCTGATTTGGAGATATAATCTGGACAGAATCAGGTCTGAGCTGGGGACAGATGGCACAATGGCCTCTTTCTATAGCCCTGCCCTGCCCACAGTGACAGTAAGACATCAAGGTCACAAAAAAAGACCCAATTTAGATTTACAGGTCCATGTGATACCAACACAGCATTTCTAGACGTCATTATGACATTATGTTTCTTTTCACTGTGAACCTTCAAAGATGAATCAAAGCTCTATGTTCCACTAGCTGAGCAATCCTGTTTTACTTCGGGCATACAGTACAAGGCTTCATTAGGATGGGAAAATAAAACAGAGAACTGGCTGTGCTTTGTGTTAACATCTCATTTCCAGTGTGAATTTCAGGTAAGTGAGGGGGAAATAAAACTCGAAGGAGAAAAATCCTTTTGTGCAGCGGTGGAATCTTCAGTTTATAAACAAGTACGTCAAATTAAACAACCATCATCGACTGAATTGTTATTTTTGTTTTCCCCTTTGCACTTTTCACTGTGCTTCAGAGTTGAATATAAACACTCCCACGACTTTGAAAAGTGACTTTTCCTCCAAGCGAATTCATTGCGGTCGTTGTGGGATTGATGGCGTTGTCGTGACTGAATGTGTGTCCGTTGCCCTGCTCACAGCCAGACAGCACTCTGTGTGAGAGCCACTGACCGTCTCCCTACGAGAGATCAACCCTGCCCGATAAACACACGCTGCAGAATGCGACACCTCGCAGAGGGCTTGATAGCTCCACTCATCATTCTCTACTGCTCCTCTACTCTCCTCTCCGTCTCTCTACAAGCAGCTCCATGCGCCCTCCAACTATGACCTATTTTTACCTTCAGGATATCCATTTGCAGAGTGAGTCAGACATTGCATTAGAAAACATGCATCACGTTGATTTCTGAATCACTTACCCGCAGCTGGTTTCCAGCAGACTGTCTCCAACCTGAAGGGAGGCCATGCCGAAGTCTGCTATCCTGATGTTGTTCTTCTCATCTAGCAACAGGTTCTCCGGCTTCAGATCCCTGTGGCTGAAAGATAGTGAAACAGAATCATAAAAGAGTTAATGAAACATGAAGGAGCTCATCATAGGTTTTATAAACTAAAGACACGAGGGAAAACGAAGAGCAAGGTCCATCGAACACCTGCGGATCGAGCAACTCAGCATCCTTAGCTGTTCCCGACGCCCCCCTCCTCTGCAACAGCTCTCTCTTTGATCGGTCCATGCTGGAGCTAGGGGGCTCACACCTCAGCGCTCAGCTGGTACGAGGTGTGACAGCCCCCTGCTGTGTCCTTTCTCCTTCTGCTTCCCCCCCTCTTCGCCTCTCATCTCCCAGACAGCCACCAGCAGACTGGCTGAGCAAAGGGGAGCCGGCCACAGAGGTTGTGTTCATTAGCTGCCATTATTTTCCGCTAAGCACAGTGTGGGGGATGATATCCAGCAGACATTGTATCCCTTCTTAAAAAGGACTATTGAGAGGATCATCATATCACATAAGCTGTTGCTGTGTCAGAGGTTAAAATCTCAATTGTTAATAGAAACAATAGCCTTTTATCGTGTAGTTAACACCCTTGATGGTTAGTATACATTCACACTGTGAAACACCATGCATGTTATACATGAGTATGTGTGCACACACTGATATCCATATTTTTTTACATTCTTACTTACAGTATGTATACTTGCTTACCTCTAAACTAATAGAGCCAAGGGGCAGGCAGGATTTCATGAACCTGACTTTGTTCTTGTCTTTATACTAATGATAATAAGGGGAGAGCAACAATAGCTGGTTGCCTCAGCCTTTGAAGAGTGCCTCATCACAATGGACGTTTAACCTCAGATGACTTCAGCTGCTTTACAACTCGTTTCCTGTCCTGGGGGATAAGCTGTCAGCTGGTTTGTTATCACAGTGGCAGTCTGTGTGATCCCTGCTTTAATTGAAATAAAACAAAGATAACATCTTCTCCCCAGCTAAAACCTTTATCAGTTCACACGTGCCACCATTTGGCAGTGAAGTCAGGAGCCTAGTCATTTTTACTAATACTGTCAAAGCAAAGGAAGAAGGAACAAACATGAACTGTCAGTATCTTTTCAACGCGTGTCTTAGTCAACATTCCTGATCAAATATGCCTTAAAAAAATGATATTACATTACATGTCACTTGTTAGACGCTTTTATCCAAAGCGACTTACTATTCAGTACTGTGGACAATCCCCACAGGAGCAATTTGGGGAGAAGTGTCTTGCCCAGGGACACAACGACATGCTGACTGCAGTGGGATTCAGCGCACTAAGTTCCGCGCACTCTCCCACTGAGCCACAGCCTCCCTATATTTATCCTGGCAACTAAATATTTTACATGGCTAAAAGTTACAAATCCATTGTGACTGGAGTTTACACATGACAAAAGATCCAATAGTAACTTTGTAGACATAGGGGTAGATCGCAGGGCCAGAAGGCAGTTTAACAATTTGTTGTGGCATCAATGACACAATAAACGGCAATGACGGCTCTGACTGTGTCTTTTTTTCTGACGCAGTGTTCCAACATTGTTGACTATTAGCATCAGATAACCTGCTGATCATCACAGACCCCAATCTAAGAGCCACAGCCTCAACGGTCATAAATATCTAAGTACAATCCAACTGTCAGCCTCAGATTCATAAATGAACCCTAAATCATTAAATAAATGTCCCATAAACATGGCATTAACATTGTGTTATCACAAAAATCACATATAAAACACAAAGAACCAAACCCCAAAAGACTGTTCCACAACAGAAAAAAGGCAACAGCGTGTTTATCTAGCAGCATCAAGGGGACAAATTGCATCTGGATGCTTTATTGGTTGTCAGGACCCTGGTATCCATAATAGGACATTAAACTGCCTCTCTGACACATTAGGCTGCAGTTTGCCACTGTAATCTCGCTCACACAGCAGGCCTGCACCGGAGACGTCTGTTGGGTCTCATATGTCATAGAGGAGGAGACGCGGTTAAACAAATTCAAAAGCAGCAATGAGCATAAATGTAACGTTTTTCTTTCCAGGAAATCGTAACTATGCACCACTAGCAAGTCTTGGATGAATGTTTTTTTTGTAATACAATACTCTGTGATGACTGCATATAATTGTTATCACTATAGGGGAACATACAGTATATAGTACATGAAAAGAACAGAACAATAAACAGGGGCCACTATTATTTAATGCCTGTCATTCATCATGTTACACATTTTTAAACAATACACATGTGATTGTACTACCTTGAACATAGCCCATAATTCACAATGCACTAATCTCTTGTGATGCCATTCAGTGTAATTTACAGGGCGCACATGCATGTCTACATGCTGCCTGAGCAGGGTTCAGACCCCAGTGGGGCTGTTAGACATGATTCCTGCAATTTAACACCAAGCCCTTAATGCTTGTGATCATTTGTACATATCATGCTGATATGTTCAGTTTTACAGAGGGTTGTAATCGGTCTATTCTCTCTGGGCTCACATCCCTATTACATCCAAGACATGTTTATGGTGATGGCAGTTTTGCTTAACTCTCCAGCCAAAGGAAAATATACTTTTCCCATAGTGACACATTCACATTCACCATGTTTAATAGAGCCTGTGTTATCGCAAGATATGTGGCACTAATTAGCTAAAGTGAAACAGTTGAAAATAACGGTAATGGCTGAAATGCATCTTTTTGACATATTAACATGCCTGGGAAAAAGCACACCTGTTTTCTTGCATTTTCAAGGGCTAAAGCTGTCCTGGTACCATTATTGCTGGCTGAAGTGGGGTTTTTAAGCATCGTTGTGAGTCAAAATGCACCCATTTACCTCTGTGTAATTTATTCTCTTTTAATCTTTCCCTTTTTTCTCTCGAACTTTTTTAGGCTTCTGTTGACCCAATTAGAGAGAGACCAAGAACACTCAATGAAAACACTTTAGGCTAATATTATAAACACATTAGCAAAATAGGACAACTTTCTGACTGCTGACTTGATGTGCACAATCGTTCATTAGCCGATGGGGTTAGTATCGTATATTAGGAGCAATGAGGGATGAGAAAGATAACGTTGTCTTTTTCCCCCTTTTCTGCTGGCTAATGGAATTGGTATTTTTCTGCAATTTTGCTCAAAACAAGTGTTCGGTGAATGTGATTCTATGCTTTCTTATTCTGTAGTCAAGTAGCCAAGTTAATACCGCATTTGGAATGTATGTATTTAGGTTCAGATAAAAAGAAAGGACAGGTGGATACGGGTAAGTGTGGTTACTAAAATACGTTGTTTATGAACAAAATATTTAGCAATATATTTGTTAACAGTAAAATAAATGTAACAGCTGAAATGCAGCTGATGCTAAACAGTCCCCTGTCCACTGTTCTATCCATTAGTTTATGGTGTTCTTTCATATAATAAATATTCTCTGTGAAAATCATTAAAATACCATATTTAATATGTTCACATTGCTTCAAAATCCCACAAAGCAACATAAAAACAAGAAATGGTCATTTAACAAGGAACCAAAGCTCTGAATATTGTATGATGGTTTTATGACACACTTTATTGTTCTTTACATTCTGAATTTCAATAAGTCAATGAAATAGCAATTTCCAATACAGACCCATTTTTCCTTAAGGAGCACATTCGAAGCTGTTTTCTAACATCATATGTCATTCAGGCACAAATTATAGCCAGGCTCTTAGTGCCTGTTTATACTGGGGCCCCCTTACATTTAAGCAGTCTCCTGTCATAAGATTTGCATTTGAACTGGATTAGTATTGAGAAGAAGGCACACAGCTATCTTTTATTCACAAAATGTGTCTCTCGAGTAAGAGCGTCACATCTTGTGCCATCTGGGGCATTTCTATCTATTCCTCTGGGGTTTTGAGCAACACTGGGGATGTAATGCATTGTTGCATCTAATGCAGTGAGTCAAATGTGGGATTACAATGATGGCTGGTTTTGTAATAAACAAACTGTTTGCTTTGTTGTGCTAAATCTGTGTGTGCATCCCAGCGTTTGCTCCTAATCCAGAGGAGTTTGACAGAGGAAGATAGTGTGAGCAGCAGAGCTTCAAGGCAGAATAAACAGTGCTGTCAGAAAAGCATTGGAGTGATAGATATTAAAAAGCCAGAGCAACATCAGGCCTCCAATACAGACCTGGGGTGATGTGGATTAGACCATTGTGCCTGTTCGAAATTTGAAAACTCTACACTTTCCCTTACAAGCCCATAAAAGTAATGGAAATCAACCTATAACTTTTGTTCTTCCTTCTCAGCTCCACTTCCTACAAACATTTTAGCCTTCCCATTTCCACCTCCTCTCAACATCAACGTTCCTCCTCTGACCACTTACATTTCAGTGCTTTAACTGTCTCTGCAGGAGAGGGAATTACTTTCGAACAATTTTAAAAGACAAGGAGAGAAAGAGAGGGAAAATATTTGTATTGTGTTGTTAGCGACCATCAGCCGTAATGATGATAGGCTATAAGTACAGGCTTTCTGCGGGAAGCAGACATACAGACTGTCATCTGGGGAAACTCTCCTAAGAATGTCAATAAACACAGCCACAAACAGCCATGGGGGCAACTGATAGAGAAATGGACGCGCAAAGAATGGACAATAACAAATAGGGCAAGCATGAACTGCATGTCGTATAAAGATTACAATCGATTAAATAAGACGACAGACAGAACACTACACTATTGCAGAGCACATGACCAGATACCATGATTAAAAGACTGTCAGTCAAACCTCAAACTAAAACAATGTAGAAAACATGATGGAAATGTTGCCTCTACATGTGTTTCATGTAATAATAACAACAGTTATAGTCTCAGTCCTCACACACCTGCAATTATTGTGTTGTGTAGCAAGACAGTAAAAGGTAGGTTTGGATTATGCTACATTGTCTCTACTTCAATATATTTGGTTATCTCGCTAATATTGGATTTAAGTTTTTATGAATCAAATGTAAGGAAACACCTTAATTTTTCAATTGAGAACCAATTTAACCCACTCTCATCTGAATATTCTAAAAGGCCACATAATATGAAAAACTAACTTTTTCAGTGCTTATGCATTTTCATCTAAAGTGCCAGCCCTCAAACTGTGAAATAAGACGACCCTGTCCGTTTGTTGTTGCTAATCGTCAGAAAGCAATGGATTCAAATAGACATTCAGATGTGGCTCCTCTTCCAATAGCACTGTATCCCTACTCTTGGCTTGAGAACTATCTTTGTAAAAGTGGGCCATATTTGTCACCATAAGTGATGCTATATATATATATATATACAAATGCATGCGGCCCTCTAAGCCCCTGGAAGAGAGGAGTTGATCTAATGACGGAGGGGGAGTGTGGGAGAAACAGAGTGAGAGAGAAAGGTGGATGATTATGCCGCTGCGTGGGTTTAATGTGACTCCTGGACCAGGTGTTTGTTTGTGCACATGTAGGTGGCGGTAATAATCAGTGTCAGGAATGAGACTGTGTGTGTGTGTGTGTGTGTGTGTGTGTGTGTGTGTGTGTGTGTGTGTGTGTGTGTGTGTGTGTGTGTGTGTGTGTGTGTGTGTGTGTGTGTGTGTGTGTGTGTGTGTGTGTGTGTGTGTGTGTGTGTGTGTGTGTGTGTGTGTGTGTGTGTGTGTGGAGGCTTTAGGGACAGGGATATTTTCCAAGGTTCACGAGCAATCTCTGCTGTACTTGGTGGGATGCTTGGAGTCACTTTATGTGACAGATAGTCTTTATCCCTCACCCACACACACTCGCTTTGTATTGAACACACAACCAGGGCTGTTAACAGGGTCACAAGGGGAAAGACCAAAGTCATTACTAAGCAAACTGGACAGGGGTGAGGTAGAGGACAGTGTGCTGTGATCGGGGGGAAATTGTTTTTTTTCTGTGGATGGTTTAAAAGTTTGTCAGCTTATGTCCATGCAAAGAAGTACATCTCTGTTTCACACCATATGACACGATGCAATGAGAGGGTGGATAAAATGTGGCTGGATACAGGAGTGTTTTTGGGGTCCTCCCTGGTTCTTTTGACCTCTACTACTGGGTCTCAGTGAAGCTTTAGAATCACACGAAAAGAAATCAATACAATATACTTATATTGCTCACATGAGAACAGAAACCTTGTGCATTTATTACAGAAAATCAGAGCATACAATGCTTTTCCGTGATAAATTGTACTCAAATGGCAATTTCCTTTTAAATATTGACAAATGCTGTTCAAAATTACCTTTCATCATCTGTTAGTTTAGCTGAGTAAAAAAATCCGAAGTGTTCAAGGTAAATACACTTTAGTATTTTCAATCAGTCTGTGTCTCTTTTGGGTGTTTGCAGTAATGGCAGACTGCCACATCAGGTACTCTGTTTAGTGTAGTAGCAGATGTGGGTTTTGTTAAATGTCAAACTAACAAGATACAGGTGAAGCTGCTGTAGGGAATCTATCTCGAGTAAACAAGATAGTGAATCATCTGCAATAATAAACCACATCTTTAAGGCATCCACTTAGTTAGTGTGACCTTGAGACCTGAATCTCATGCAGCTTGAGGAGAGCTGTTCTGAAGCTGACCCTGACATTTAACATCCCTGCAGGTGCAGGGGACTGAAAGAGAACATTTCACATTGATACATAAAATATACATCATCATGTGGGTTGTGGACTGTCAATCATCTACTCTGTATCTGAGGGATACATTGCAGATCTGAAATGTGTTCAGACCTAAGAAACAGTATCCAAATACAGTACATGTAAAGTACAAGTAGACGAGGGGGGGGGATTGACACTGGATTTATGTCAGCATACAATGAATAGTATCTCTCGCTGCTTCAGCATTCATTATACATTTATCTTACTGAAGAATCATTTCCCATTCCTTTTTTCTTCCACCCTCACCTATCTTTGCCTCATCTCCCTCGTCAGCTTTTCCCATGTGCTTCCCTTAGTTCCTTTGTTTTTCGTCTACTTCTAAAAGAAAACTCTGCCTAAATCAGAGCGAGGAAACACTGAGTCACAAACAGCCTTCTATGCTCTTTCATTCATATCCTCGCTCACATCCATCTGGCTCAAGAGAGATATTTCGGGATGTGACGTGGGCGGAGGGCTGAAGCATGAGGCAGTGAGAAAAAGTGCAAATGGGAGGTATACAGAAGAGGAGGGTTGAGGAGCATGTGTTTACCCCACGGTGAATCACAGAGAGAGAGAGAGAGAAAGAGCACTGTGAAGGTCTCATACGCAGACAAGTCGAAACGGAAGAAAAATATTTCAGGAATGCTTTTTTATTGAGGGGATGCTGGGATCTCATTAGTGGAAATGGAAGTGAGGTGAGAAGGGCTGCGTCTGTCAGTCTCTTTGCCCCTAATTCAGATTAGGAGCACGGCGAGGGGGTGCAGTAACACTCCAAAATAATCCCCCTCTCATGATAACTTTACAAGGCATCATTCTCTACGTGTGTTCATCAGGAGATTTGAGGAGCTAAAACGGAGACAGCAGGAAAGCAAACCAGGAAGGAGCAGATAGATCTACTCCTGAATGTTACTACAAAAGAACTGCAATAATCTATGTATGTGCATGCACTTATTGTCAGTCCCAGGTGCTTTCTTTTAATTGGCCTAATCTGTTCTTCTCACAGTCAGTTGTTTACACACACTGAACAAATACCTATATCTTTCATTCCCTTTGGAAGGACAGTTTTGTTTTTACCAGCGGTACAGTTGTCTTCTGTTTTTTTAAATAGACTAACTAACCCTTTAATATTCAAAGAATAAAATGAACACCCAAGATAATAACTACATTATAAATGTATTAGGATATAGGAAATTGTACTGTGCATAACAGGCCCCGACATAGCTTATCACATCACTGCAGTGCAACTATAGCTATTCAATCCATGACACATTTCTTAAACGTTTGCCCGAGCAACATTATGCCTGATTATCTCCCTAGTGTTTTTAACAGGTTTAGTGTCCTCTTCATCATCAGCAGGGAGCTATTCAGGAAACTGTGCAGAGTGGTAAAGAGTCTCCATCATAAAACCCTCTCTGGTCATGCCACAGCTGTGGCAAGGCTTTATTATCTTAATGTCTGATCTGAGGCCACGGCCTGCAGATATGATATCAGTGTGAGCAGCAAGGAAACAAGCTTATACTGAGCTGCATAATGACCATGCTTGAATGCTTAGTGACCTCAAATTATATTAAAAATGCAATACTGCATAAAGTAAAAAAAGCACCCTTGATATGGGAATCACAGAGAAAAACTGACGTGAAAGAAATCCGTCCACCTGATAATGGCTTTTATAAAATCTAGTAAAGTAAAGTGCTGGAAAGTCATATCAAACAACTATAGGATAGAAAAGTAACAGTATAAATTGTTACAAGTATAGCCATAAAAAAGGAACAAGCTTTATTATTGTTACCATAGAGTACCAATTATTGTTTCACCTAGCATCTACTATATGCCATGGTTAGCCTACATGAATCTTAACATGTTAATAACATATTTCCCCCTGTTTCTATCAAGCTGCTTGTGACCAAGGTAAAATAAATAAACTTGAACTAATTCTGCTCTATGGTCCTTGTGCTCCGCTATACAGGGAAATGGGGACAGAATGCAGAGGCACACACTCTCTGGAGAAGCAACAAAAAAAAGTCTACTTTAGGAACACAAACTGATATAGGAAACACACACACCGACACACACAAATGAGCTCTCTAAATCAATCCCCGCTGACATGTTTGACTTCTGAAGTATATGATTGCCTCAAGTCTATGAGCTGGTAAACAGTTAAATTGCTCCCTGAAGCCAAAAACAATGCATCACATTAGTGAATACCTTGTAGCAGATTTCAACAAATACAATGACTCAACACTGAGCTGAGCAAAGTAAAGAAAATGCACTGTGTGTGTACTAAAAAAAGTCACTTCTGCTCAGCTTTAAAAATAATAACTGAGGACGTTATGTGGAAAAGAAGTGAACCATCAATATTTCAACCTGCACTACACCAAACTATATAAAGACATTATTTTCCCACATTAGGCAATACATGTCTACATGTATTTGACTCTTACTATTTGGCACGTGCAAACTATTATCAGCTGTTTAAGTTAGATTGAAGATAAACTTAGAAAAAGAGTTCAAATAAATGTGTTGATACAAACAACTTCCCGTTCTTAGTTCTGTAATCTCCATATTGAATCATTGGTTTGAACGATAAACAGCCTTTCAAAGCTATGAATAAACTGATTTGAATTTAAATGAATCTGTAACATTTTTTGAATTCTTTAGACGGGAGTTCATTATCTGTTCAATGTTGTATGACAACCAATTTGACTTTGTAACACCTCCTGGGTATGTTTGTTTATTGGAGATGTGACTGGTTTATGCAAATAAAGAATGCGTTTCTTGTGGTTTTAACCCAACATACCTCCGAAATGTGGGAAGCATGTTAAACTTGAACATATTAGAACTGCACTGTGAGTCTTCTCTATTGTACTACAATGATATAAGTGTAACTTTATTCACATTTTAGAAATTCAGTAGTTTTACCGGGCACTTCCAACCGTCTAATATAAACATTCACAGCTAATGTATAACTAGCAATTACTAACAAAAAAAAAATCCAAGCGGATAATTTCACTTACCATATGGAATGACTGTGGCAAAAATCCAGGGCAGACATGATCTGTCTGAAGAATTTCCTTGCCTCTTTAGGTGTTAACCTGCCTTTCTTCACCAGGTAGTCAAACAGCTCACCACCAGACACATGTTCTAGCACAAGGTACCTTAGAGGGAGACAGAGAAAAGGAAAAATCAGTCCAAGAAATAAAGATGAAAACAAGAAAAAAGCAGTAGAAAAGAAACTCACACATAGAAAATAAAGATCTAACTTGCAGGGACAGGAACAAATAGCTGTGTTCTCCACAGAGCCATCTGAAAAGGCCCTAAATAATCAGAGAAATCTCCAGATCTCAGAGGTCTGGTGCAATACGGGAAATAGTTCCCTTACAGCTGTTATACACAAACAGAACACCCAGGATCAATGATCTGCTCTCCCATATCATATTATGTTGACAGTTTATTTTTCATTTTTTCATCTGTTAGCTGTCCCCAAAGTCAAAGATTGAAACAGAGTGTATTGCATTATATGTGAAGGGTTGTGATATACTATACACTCCAATGGGAGGCATGATAAAGTTGCATTACACTAGAAAAAGATGGAAAAGTTGTGTGACACGCTCTAAGACATAAGGGCAAATAGCTTCTGCTGATGGACACACAATGTTAGCATCTGTGACAGCTTTTGTTTTAGAACTTGTGTAAGAGAGAAAGAGAAGAAGGAGAATGTATATATATTGGGTAAAAAGCACCTGCTATACCAACCCGGTATCACGGGAAGACGTGAAAATGTCTACGTATGTTACTAAAGAGGTTTTAGATTGGCCAATCTAAAACCTCTTTAGTAACATACGTAGTATATATACATTTCCTTGGTGAGACCTGAAAAAATCTTCGTATTCTCCAGAAAAAGTTTTGTTATAGTGAACCAAAAGTCGTGATAGAGGCTTGCTTTTCAACATCCGGGTATTTCTCTAATGGTGGGCCATGTTAACAATCCTGTGTAACAGTGAAGTTTTGAGGGGGTGAAATCGTGTCATCCTGACGTCTCCCAGTGTGGACCAACGTGACATTTTCATGTCTTGCCATGATACCGGGTTGGCTGTATAACTTGTGTTGTAATTTACTTTTATTTGACGTTCCCCAAACAGGCCTCAACACACAATGTTCCCTGCCATTAGATTTCTTACAGCCATTATTCAGGTGGCCTTGAGTCTGTGTGGCTGCTCATGTGCAGGAGACAGTCAGTTCTGGGCTCCAAGGGGACAGGAAGGAGATGAATCTCTCACCGCTGGCCCAGACCTAAAGCTGCGTCTGTGGCCTGAACGCCAGCGGTGCCGTGCCCCTGCCCCGCACCAGGCTGATCGTATATCCTGTGCTGAATCTCCCTCTATCTTCACTAGGACAAATTGAAACCCAGACAGGCGGTGAAATACTCTCTCTCATCTCTCCCTCTCCCCCTGCTGTGGACATTTGTGTCTACATGCAACTCTTCAGTTTTATTGATTACACTACAGTGTTGCAGACTGTACTCGCCCACTTAACAACCCCAAAGCCTAAGCGCTGGCAATTGGAAAACCTCCATAGCTTTGGCACACAAAACAACGACTATACAACACATATCAATACTTTAAATTAATTCAGAATCAACACCAGTATTTCAAGTACTTCAGTTTCCCTATTTTTAATATGTTTGCAGCACAATAAAGTCGCACCTCTCTGATTTTACTTGTCAAAGTCAGTCTACTTTTCACCACTTGAGACTGATGATTCAAACTCTAATCATAGATTTGATGACTTTGTAATTCACTTTGGCTTGAGACTTTTAACTTGGAAATAAAGTTTTATGTGGCTCCAGAAGGGAGATTTCTAGGAGTTGTTAAAAAAATGAATATGTTATATCACCAGAGGTATCTCAATCGAGAGATTACAAATGAATATTCTGAGTGAAAAAGCAGGGGTTGTGCCGTTTGAACTAAGCAGGCTTTGTCTCTCCTGTGATGGTTTTAAAGAAATGCTTACTAATAAGTTTCGTTATGGGAATTGTAGTATACTGCACCTTTAATGTGTTTAATCTCAGCCTTTGTTAAATTGATTTGACTTAATTTCCTTTTTTAAATCCTTTTCTTGCAAGTCCACAAACTTAATAGAAATGCATTACTAAATCAACAGAGTAGCAATTTAAACTTAACTACAATACTCTGCCAATGCATTGCCTGCAGATTATTAATGATTCGCTCGCTGGAGAAACATAAATACATTTTCAGCAATCCAAAGATTTAGTACATGTGGGGCTTTGAGTAGCTTTGACCTTACTGTTTCCTAAGGGTAGCTCAGCAAATACAAACAGGTCCTCGCATGTGTTACAATTTATCATTTTGTTATGATTCTAACACTGCAGCAAAAAAACTATTAGAAATCAAGTGAACTTATATGCCTTTTGGTCTTAGACTATTGAACATCTACTCTGTGAACATTTCTCATTCTAAAAGGCATAATTTATACCAACATCATGATGTGATCACTCATTCATTTTGAGCGATGAAATATTCATGAATAAAATATTGGGGTGCTATGTATCAAACTCCGTCCATGTCTCCCTCACCTCTTGTACTCACACCGCACAATTTTAAACAGCTGGATCTGTGCCGGCAGCATAATAAATCGAATAGCTCTGGGAAGGGACATATCTGGGTGTTAAAAAAATACATGTGTGTGTGTGTGTCTATCATTTATTGGCTTTCAAGTGGAGATGTCTGAGTAAAAATCTAAAAAGTATTCATTTCAAAATCACATCACCAATGTGAAGTGCATCGTGTCCTTGAGTCACTGTTATTCAAATGGAAGCGATGTGTCTTCTGTGACGCTGCTAGTGATCAACTGTCAAAAGTTACGAAGCAATGGGCACGAAATGTGATTTTAATAATCCAATTATAGGATGAATCACAATATTCTGCTATTCCTATCACCCTAAAGGATGACATTACAGTACTGCATGTCCAATCCCATTTAGGCTGTAAACTCAAGATGAGAACTAATTGAGTTTAGTTGACAAACAGCCTTCTGGATCAGGAGGGCTACCATAAGCTACTGATGGGCTTGTCACTCACTGTGGTTAAAGTTTGCTAATAGATTTATGTGTGTGCATACTGCAAAGCCTCTGCAGCCGGATAATGTGGCTGCCAGTCTCCATGGCTAATGTCCCTTAATGCAATGGTGTTGCCTCTGATAAGCATATCATGATGTTTACATTACGGAGACTTCCGCTCCCCATTAGCAAACCCCTAGCTTGCGCGGCCAAATGCAATGTCTCATGTCCATACTAATGGAGCTTCTGCCCCTTAAAGGCTAACATTGTTGGCCTCCAGTCATAATACACCAATCAAAACTGATTTGTGGCATTTCAAAGACTGTATGGAATCAATGACATCACCTGACAATATTTGTCAACCACAAAGGTTTTCATACACACAATCATTGAGAACAATTATGATTTAGTATTATCAAGCATGAATACAAACTGGACCATATTCCGCATGTGATACTTACAAGTATTTTTTATTTTCGTAGACGTCATGTAGCTTCAACACATGTGGGTGTTCTATGAGCTTCAGAATAGCTATTTCCCGCTCCACCTGTAAAAAGAGATAGGTAGGAAAAAAGGGAGGAAGGAAAAGAGAGAAGGAAACAAATGATTAACATGTAACATCAACACGGTTAAGTTCCTTAAAGCAATCTAAGACCAATCGTCCATATCTGCCCTCATACTCTCTAAAAAACGATTCATGATGGGGTTAGTAGATTCCACTTCAAAATAAATACTTTTTCTACCTAACATTTTTAGTTCTTTACCTCAACTTATTTTAGTTAGTTAACAACTCATTTTAATAAGTCTGTCAAACTGAAAAAGAACAAAAAAAATGTAACTTACAAATGTAATGATTTTGAAAAAATATTTCTGCGTTCACTCAACTATAGGGATATACTAAGTTAGAGTAACTCATATCTATTGAGTTTCAACGGTTTAGTTTCAAAACTGAACACACGCCTGGACTTGCCCGGACTTTGCTGACCGCATGTTGAGTTGGAACAATCTGTATTCATCCTGGAAGCAGAACTCTAGATAGCAGTGGAACAACAGGATTTTAACCTAATAATCTATCAAGTTACCTGGTAACCCATTTTTGTTCAGCTTAATTTACAACAGCTGCTTACTGCATATACAGTGTAACACAAGCTGTAAGGTATCATCAGCTACTTGTTTTAAGCTACTGTAGCATGCATAGCATACTGATTAGCTAGCTGTTTGTATCCTCCTGTATCCTTTGTTTCACAGTTGCAGTCAAAGTTCATTATTTGTAATACAGTATGTATATATATATTGTTTTTTTTCTTGTTATAATTAACGTTACATTTGATAATAACTGATTTAAAATAAATATGAACAACAACTGACAATGCCCGGCATGTTCAGTTTTTGCAAACAAGCCTTTGTTTTTCTTTCTTAACATTAAAATGTTCTCCTTTTAAGGATGATTTGGTGGAAAGAATAAAAGAGGTTGCTATCCGGTGCTTGGTGGTGTGTCTTCGTGAAAAGGAGGATCTCTTCAAGGAAAACTTAAGTAAGTAAAGTCGATGCTTAAATCCTACTGTAACTTGTGTTAACCTGAAACACAATGCAATGTTTTTCTGATTGCACCAAAAACAGACATTTATTTTCTAATCTACTTATTCCAGGATGGTGACGTGGAAGTTAGCAATGAGGTGCTGAAGATAACTTAATAATCGATTAAATTGGAAATACTTAAAAAGATCAACGCAAATTGTTACCTCAATTTATTTAAGTAGAGCCGGTGTATTTTTTTTTTACAGTGTACACTGCAACTCTCAATGCCAAAACTGAAGTACCAGGGAGACAAACGGACTGACCCAAACACAGCCTATGACGAGTTCTCTGCAATCATTTTTCTGAGGTCAACAGAAGGTCGCTTAGAGAGATAAATCTGAGAGGCAGCAATCTGTAATAGCACTTCACACAACCAGCATAGGAGCTTAGAGGGAATAAGCAAACCAATGAAAGACGCTGACTTGCACTTTCTACTGGCGGCAAAGACAGAGATAGGCTTTGACCACACTCCAGGCATCCAGCACAGCTATCTTAGGTGGAAAATGTAGTTTTCTTCTAAAACTGAATTTAAACAGGTTGAGTATGTCTTATCTCGCAAAAATAGTGATCCTCCTCTCTTATAAAACAAGCCCCTTTTTGCAATTACATTACATAGGCCAGTGGTTTCCCTGAGGAGAGCAGAAATGAACTTGGTTTGATAGAAGACATGAAGTTAAATAACCTGACATCCCCCATTTGAACATATCTGTCTAATAAGAGTACCAGCCTGTGGTTGAGTTGAGGTCAAAATGTCAACACAGGGACATCAGCATCTTGAAAAAGAGGCAATTTTTTCCTGCAGTCAGTTTGAGACTGTGGCTGTACATACTGTATACTCTAAACTCCTGCCATGTCCAAGTTCTTTTTTTACTGTTACTTACAGAACTGCTGAGAGACATATACACTGTACTGTGTGTACGGTGAGAGCAGAATTTCATGAAAATCGAGCATCAGTTTGGATTTGTGTCAGCATCTCAGGAGAGTGGTAGTCAGCATGTACAGCTGCCACTGAAAATCAGCATGGAACCAACTTCGACAGGAGCCCCAGCTAATCTTCAGCCCCCTATGCTGCTCTCCTGCTCCTCTTGCAGTTATCGGCTCCTCCTTCTCCTTCACCTTTCTTGTCCACCCTCTGTGTTCAGCTTTGTCTGACGATGAAGAGGATGAAAGGACAGTGTGAGGTGGAGGCTCCTCTGCCTCATCTCAATCTCATCAAAGTCAATTTCACTTTGTCCCTTGCCTGTGACAGCTTTCAGGCAGCTTTAATGTCACATTCATCGTGCCTTAACTTTATGAACACTCATGTGGAATGAAGTCAAAGCTCTGATCTGCCAGCTAACTCAGTTTTTGTTAAACTCCCACAAAGCTGAATGCTTGACCGAGCGTAAAATCAGGATCCTCCCTCTTAATTATGCTCTCACATTGTTTTTCATTTCAGAACAGGCTGTATTACTGATTACTGTCAGCTCAGGTACCCTATCTTGACACACTTTTGAGGATTATTTTTTGCCAGAAATAGCAGCATCCCTATCTCCACTCTTTAACTATCAGTCACTGAAGAGAAGAAATGCAGAGCAACACGTGTTGAGGCCACAGCCAAGAAGAAGTCATGGGAGAATATAAAGCTAATAAAGCAAGGCACACAGCTTGTGTAGAAACTGGGTAAAATGGTAAATGCGTAATTAGCATTAGCATGGAGTATCAGTGGGAGTACCGGCTAGGCTAATCAGGGCTAATCCGGAGACTAATGAACGCTATCAGCAGTGGCACACCATGCCACTTTTTCACCTGAGGCTGAGGTGCGTTGTTAAGAATGAACCCATGGAGGCTAGCGAGCTAGCTGGCAGCAAGGTTCCCTGCAGAGAGACTAATGCTACCCAGGACTCAGGGAGAGATGAGCTGTCGAAATGCTACAGAGCCAGCAGCTGGCTTCCTAAGCTTCCTCTAAGCGCCTCCTTTTACTTAATTGAAATAAGATAAATGAGGCTTAATGTGAAGAATTAACTGTACAACTGCCTTCTTATTGCAAGATTAGCTGTTAACACACTAATGTAAATCTGTGGAGCAACCCTCTCTTTCTTCTAGTATAATACAGTCAACAGTTTCCATTATAAACGTACAATTGTCAGTCAAAATAAATTATCTGAGAAATACATTGACAACTCACATGCCTTTAGTGAAAAAGGAAGCAAGTGAGACAGCTAGAACAACAACTGCATTTCTTCACACAAACTGAGTAACACTTCTTATCAAAGCCTCAAACACACAGATTCATCTAATACCTACATAACTTCATGCTAATATAAATACCAGGTGGTCATCCTCGTCCCTGGCTCCTGTACATGGCTGCACACTCTCTCATTAAGTTTCACATCTGTGAGTGCGGACAGCTCTCTCCATATCTCCATTGCACTTCATTAAGCCTTTATTAGCAGGCGCTTGGACACCTTTCACCGACACACACACAGACGAAAGCACTAAGGCACACGGACAGATTTTCTTGTCATCTTTCTTGCGTTTAACAGTTCAATGTATTGCCAATTTGCTACATATTTTCGAAAAACAAACAGGGTTAAAAGAGTAAGAAAAAGGAAGGATAAAACACCTGATCAGAAACCAGAGATTGAACAAGATTTTGAAAACTGACAATAATCAATATTTGCTATTGGAAAGGTAGATACTGTAATTCGTCCTATGAAATATGTGGTAATGCAGAGATGATTGCGGTTAGGATGAAAACTACAAATGACATGTGATGAAATAAAAAATATGACATCATACTGCCAGGCTTTAAGAAACTGCATTCGTACCCTGGGGATTAAAAGCCATTTTATTTTAACTGGTATTTCATTTTGATGTTGTTCTTTTTCAAAGTAGGTCTGATGTGATGTATTACTTGTAATTATGGTGTAATTTGCAGGTGCAGATGGTATTTTATAATAGAAAAGAATAACTATGTGTGAGAAGGCTACTGGGAATACTGGAGCCACATGGATAAATGAGGCAAAGCAGTCGCTAAAGCTCACATGTGTCACTTTCCATTCAAAGGATGAAAGCCAGTTTAGCATAGTTCCATCAGCTCGCTATTGATTCTTTAAATTACAGCCCTGGATCTGAATGGCTGAATGGACGAGCAAACAAATGACTGGCGACGTCAATAGTTTCATCTATGTGTCTAAGAGTCCAAAGATAGAGGACGGAGCTCACAGACAGCCAGGCAACAACAAAGACGCAAAGAGATTAGATTCATGTCACACACATGTCACAGGGCAACCGAACAAAGAAACCATTCCAAAATCTCACAGGGGAAAATATTGGATCACAGGCTCTGTCATCTCTCACTCTCCACTTATTGCCTCTCGCTCTCTTTGTCCCTCTCATGCACACTGAAGGAAAACACAGACATTTCTGTCACCTCCCCCAGGCGAGCGAGTGAATGGTCCCTTGATACTGAGATCTGAGGATCAAAGTCAACAGGGCATCCATGTGTGTCAGATAAAAAAACGTGGGTGGCTATATGCTAACATGGGAGCTACAGCGCGTGCAAGAGCTGCTGGATGGATAGAAAAGCAAAAGAGGGACAGAGAAAGGATGAGTGAATGTGAGAGGGATAAGCCATGTAATTATTTGCAATGGAGAAGACCAAAAGAGAAATGAAGAGGAGACAGACAGAAAGAGAGCACAGTGGCAGTGCCAGCCTCTTTTGTTGCTAATTAACACAACACGGGGAATAATAACCTTTTTAGCAGCCGCGCGCATCACACAGCCCACAGAGAGTGAAATGATAACAGGTAAGGTGATATGAGGAGCAACAAGCATGTGACAGTCAAGGAGCTGATAGAAGTATCTGACTGATATTTATTTTTAACAATATTGCTAGACCTTTTCATTAGATTTCATAATAGGATTTGAATAACAAATGAATAATAACATTCTGAAGAGTTGTTTGGTGTTATTTGTTCTGTGGAC